ATGATGGTTCATGCTTAGTAAAAGCTGAGATTTTCAGCAGTTCTTATATTTGCAGGAGCCATATATTGGATTATAATTTTTATGTTTGAAGAGTTTTTCTATATGAACAACAGGTCATATTTTGGAATCCCACATTTTTATTAACATTTGGTTCTGTGTATTTTTCCTTCTTGAAGATTGGCTCTAATTTTTATGTCATTTAGTTACAATACAATTAGTGGAAAGTGGTCTTTACAATTTTGTTTTAATGCCAAATAAAATCTGTTTGGCACTTGAAGTCCATTTTGACCTGTGTGGGGCACTTGTGTTGGGTTCAGTACAATACTCTTGTTTTTTTTAGCAGGAACAAGAAAGGTGCTGGATATTTATTTTAGGTATACAGGTTTCAAAAGTTCAGAAGTATATCCTGTGCATGTGCTCTTACTTGAGTAATTCCTGAGAAAAGATTAATTTATTTAAAATATCAATGTTAAAAAATATGAATTCAATTGGAAAGCCATTGCATTTTGGCCATATTCCTGATCACATACTATAGTTTTATAGATTTTCTCATTGAAAATATTTAAAAATTTTCCTTTACCAAAAAATCAATTCTGCATTGATTAATCACTCAGATGACGAGAGATGACGTGAATCTTAAATTGAAAAGCAATTGAATTTTGGGATAATTCCAGTATAAATCATAATTATGTAGATTTTACTGTATTTCTCAAATCATTTCTGAAATTTCCAATCGATTTTCAAGGAAATATATGAGTATTGATGAGAAATATTGCACTGAGAAGTTACTGAATTCTTGAAAAGTATGCAGAGATTACATCAAAGGATAATGTTCTGACGCTAAGTTCGAGAAATGCTTGAAGGAAGAATAGATGTCGCTCGCATCAGATGCAGAACGAAAATCGAACCTGAAAATAATCCCTCCTTTTTTTAATCAGGCATGAATTTTATTTTCTGAAACCAGATTGATGCGACTACGGACGAAAGGTTGTCTTATGCTGAATTTCTGCAACACGTCAACAGCCTAATACATATTTTGAAAACCATTTATGGAGTGAAGAAGGGGTCCATAGTTTTCCTTTGCTCCAAGAGTAACCTTTTCTATTACGTCGCTGTCTTTGCCACCATTGCACTTGGAGGAATCGCTTATCAAGTTCTTCCAGAATTTGTTCAAGGTATGTGATTTACTCAAATTGAAGTAACAATTTTGTTTTTTTTATTGATTGCTGGATCAGATGAAAAACTCAGGGTTTTTGTTTCAAATATGATTTATTCACAAAAGAATTTGGAAAAAATATTAAAGCATGGAAGAAATTTAACATCCAGGTGCGGAACTCAGCAGTGAACTTCTTGGTAGAAATTACAAATTCTTGTGAGAAAAGGTTTGAATTCTTGGTAAAACTCCAAAACAAAAAAGGAAAAGCATAGTCCACAATCAATGAACAGTTTCTAAAAATGGTATATGTTCTTTAATTTTATACAAACAGAGATGGATTTCATTGCACTTGAACCTATTCTAAGTTTAATTAAAATTGAATTTGAATTATGAATGGAAATTACAAATGCTGGAAAATTATTGGCCAATATTTTCAAAATTTTGAAATAAAAAATTCTCAGGCTGAATTAATAGAAATACTCAATATCCAAAAATGTAATACCTGATGGGAGTTGTTTGATTCCTTGTTTAAAAAAATTCAGAAAAATAAGCAGCCATTGTTTTATTGGTTTTTTCTTATGATAGGTTTTCTATAATTTAGCTCACCAACATCAATAAGCCTTTTAAATCTGACTATATAATGAAGTGAGCTGCCCAAAAAAGTTTCAAGTTATTTATTGGGAGGCTCAAAATGCATTTCTCTCATGGGAATTGGTCAAGAATTCCTGAAAGATATGACTTTTTGGAATATTTGACTTTAAAGGTCACAGCAGTGCATTGCTTCTAAACTATAACTGGATCCTTCAAATGAAGAAAAAACATTTTCATCATCCAGGCAATGCAAAAAAAATCACTTTCTAATAGTTTAAGACAGGAGATTAAAAATCCCTCCTCATATCCTGAAGGTTAAATTTTGGGGTATAAAGTATAACTGATGATGCAGAAAGGCTCCAACATGAGAATATACTGTATTATGTTTCAGGTGGATTTGAGAGATGTCTTTCAGAGGAAGATCAAATACCTTTGGTGTTCTGTGACAAGCGAACGCTGACAAGCATTGAGAATATTTTGGAAGACAATTTTTCTGGAAGTTCTGGAAAAGTTAATCTTCGGCCAAAGCTGTTGCTGTTCAACAAACATAGAGGAAACTATCCAGTCATACCTGACATTCTGAGGAAGATGGAAATGATTGAATCAGGTATGTGTATATCTTCCTAAACATTCCTGTAAATTATATTTATAATTTTCAAAAGAGCATAAAGCATATATTTGAGATAGTCAAAGCAGAGGAAAGTAATGACAATAACTTACAGTATTAGCATAATAAACTTCACTAAATTATATTATGAAAATTTGGGGAAAATATGGTATACATACTCTGTTTTGAATTTCCTGTTTGTGATTGCTTTATATTTTTATAGACAAGAGCTTGCCTCTTTTGAGATTTCTCCTTCAGTCAATAATGGGGACTATTATTTATTTGCTCTCTTTCATTGGGTTTTCAAACCTGCTCTTTGGGACTTGCTTTTTCCTGAATATGTACTCTTATGTACAGTACTGTACTTGTTCCACAGTTTTATTGTAGCAGATAAAAATTCAACTTTGGTTTGTATGATTTATTTCTCATACTTGATTTTCCTACTTTGTTCTATATGGTGCTTGCTTCTTTCTATTTATTCTTGTGTGCTTGCTCCTTTGTACTCTATACTTGTAATCTTTGGTATGTCTTCATGTTTTGAGGTTGTTCTTTTATACTTGCTTTGTTGGGCTTTCTGTTGTATGTTTCCTCTTTTGTATAGTTTTAAGTTTTGTAGTCTTGATGTTTTTTATTTTTAATTTGCTCTTTATTTGTGGATGTTATTTTTAATTTATTATTTTATGTTTGTTCTTGCTGTGCAGCAATTGCTCTTTTTGCATCATCTTTGCTGAATTTCCTGCTTTGGCTCTTCTATCTTTATAGACTTCCTCTTCCATGATCTTGACAAATGCTCTTCTTCTGGCTTTTTGATAGGTTTCTCATCATGCTTTCTCTTTTCTGCTTGCTCTTTTCAGACCATCTTTTCTTGTGACTAGGTATTCTGTTGTACTGGCCTGTGAGTTCATTTTCCCAGAATAAACAAAATTTAAAAATCTGCAGAGTATATCAGCCATTTGTAGCCTGCTGGGCCGCATATTCAAGGGACACATTGAATATATGTTCCTAGTTTTGTAATGAAGTTTATTCTGTTTTTCTCAAGTCAAGAAATTCAAGAATTCAACAAAAATCGGATCACAGAAAAAATGAGATTTCTACACAATTAAGATGATGATAGAAAGAGTTGATTATTCTCCATATGAGGTCAGAGAAGACTATTTCTCAATTTCCAGGGATGAAACCAAACTTTTTTTCAAATTTCATGGAATTTTCTGGTCAGGTTATCTGACCATCATCAGAACATTTCATCACATTTCTTGGCCTCTGATATTGGCCATTAAGAATGCATTTGAAGAATTTGCTGTGTGCATTATTATTGGCACAGATGATGAGGTAGAAACCCTTCTTTGGATGTATTTTCTAATTTCCTCCAGGACTCTGCCCTTTCATCAGCTTTCTTCAGGATTTATTGCTGAGAAATGAGTTAGTAAAGCTTTGTTTGCTTTTTCAAGATGTTCCATCACTGAATCCAAAGGATATTTGCGCTGTATTCATGTCAAGTGGAACAACTGGATCTCCCAAGTCTGTTTCACACACCCATCATTCCTTGCTGTCCATGGCTTACAACACACACATGTGAGACACAAATTCCCCAATATATATATACTAAATATGTGTGATGATGTGTTTCAGAAATAATTATAATTTCATTAAACCCTTCTCCATCTCTGAAGTATGTGCACAGAGGAGCAGAAATACAATGTCAGGGTTTTTCGCGGATTCCATGGCCCCATTGGCCCTTTCTTCATGCTTTTTTCCACCATCACGGAAGGCGGAACTTATGTGACATTCAGTTCCTTCCGGGAAGAACTTTTCCTGGAATCAGTGGAAAAATACAAGGTATACTGTCAAGCTTCACAAAGAAATCTATGCTTCCTTCACAGTTTACATCAATCATACCTATTTTCAATGCTGAAATATTTAGTCTGTGTAAAAATAAGATATACATAAATCTTGAATAATTTTAATTTATGCTGGTTTGAACCAGAAAGATTGAAATTAGTAGGAAAATTGAATGCATCAATCAGGGTGACTAATTTTAATTTTCTGCTTCTAATACCAAGAGAGTTAATAATTGTGAAAAATAAACTTGGTGAAGTACAATAATTAAGTTTAAATTCATGTTTTCAGCACTGGCCTCCTCCAAATATATGCAATTTGACTGCCCCAAAATTCTATGGTTGAATTTGCAGGGAGGTTGACTTGCAATTTGAGCATTGCCCCACAATTTGACTTGCTTTGACCATTATTTGCATTGATGTTTTTGAATTTCATGAAGCTACTGTCTTGCAATTTGACCACTTTGGAATTTAACTGACCCTAGTTTGGCAATGGATTGGGGTTTAATTGCAAGGTACCACCTATATGTATACAGTATATATAGAGCAAAATATAAAAAAGCAATATATAAATATATCTTTTTTTTATTTTACCTGAAAGATGAAATCATGAAAAAGAAAGCACAATAGATGAATCTTGATGAATGCTTTTTTTTTAATTTTCTCAGGCAGGGAATCATTTTAAAAAAAGATAAAAAATCTTCACAGTAAATAATTACAAGTTTATATTTTCCACATTGAACAATCCAGAGATTCATGCAGCATTAAATCTTTTCAGGCTACTTTCCTGCCACTTTTCCCAGTGGATTTCATGTCCTATGCAAACATGGATGAAGAAAAATGGCAAAAGTATGATTTGTCATCTGTTAAAATCGTGTCCAGTGGAGCATCGATTTTTCCAAGGTCTACACGCGAGAAGGTTGAAAGGATGTTTCCAAATCTGGCCATGCCCATATTTCAGGTTGGCAACTCTTTATTTTTCGAATTTTAATTTCCGTCTCTTGGATGACACGCAAATTTTTTTGTAGAACAAAATGTTTATTTGGATTCTGAGAGATAATCAATATTTAAAAGTATATCAATATTTTGTCACTGTGTTGAATCATAAAGAAAATCTTACATAATCTGAAAGAACATCTTATGTAATCTGAAAGAAAATCTTATATAATCTGAAAGAAAATCTTACATAATCTGACAGAAAATCTTATATAATCTGAAAGATAATATTATATAATCTGAAAGAAAATCTTATATAATCTGAAAGAAAATCTTATATAATCTGAAAGAAAATCTTACATAATCTGACAGAAAATCTTATATAATCTGAAAGAAAATATTATATAATCTGAAAGAAAATCTTATATAATCTGCAAGAAAATCTTATATAATCTGAAAGAAAATCTTATATAATCTTAAAGAAAATCTTACATAATCTGAAATAAAATCTTATATATAATCTGAAAGAAAATCTTATATAATCTGAAAGAAAATCTTATATAATCTGAAAGAAAATCTTATATAAATTCAGGATAACCATGTAAAATCATAATTAAAATCGGCTATGATGTGATGTAAGCTCTGGATCAAACAGAATTAAAAAAAAATTTCATTTCCCACAAGAATAAAAACTTTGAAGTGTTTTATTGTTCAACATGATAAATTCTACTTCATATCTCAAATATAATTTTATTCATTGTTATGAAATGCACAAAATCTTGTGAGATGTGGGGATAAGGACTATATCAGATCACTGCTCAAATAAAGGTGAAATTCCTATTTTAATATTAATTTTAACTTTTTCAATTTCAAATTTTTTTTGCAGATTTATGGAGGCACAGAGATGCTTTTTGTAGCCAGTTCCAGATCACTTGGAAAAGCTGCAAATAATGAAAACGGCGTCGGAATACTTCATCCTTTCATCAAGGCCAAGGCTTGTGCAATTTATTCCCTATAAAAATATATAATTTTAATTTATTCAGCTATGAAGCATGTGTTGTTGATCATTGGATATGTCATATACACATTATTTCATATTTCAGGTGCTCAGTTTGACAAACGGAAGGGTTTCAGGACCGAATGAAAGAGGAGAGATTTTAATTCACACCCCATTCCTCATGCAAGGATACAGGAATCGACCGGATGTAAATATTTTTAATACCCAATTTTTCTGGGAAAAAATATTGTGTGAATGAATATTTTTTGCCCTTGTTTTGCAGCTGACTGCAGCAGCCATTACTGAGGATGGGTGGTATAGAACAGGGGATTTTGGATATTTCAACAACAATCACTGTTTGCTGGTGCTTGATAGGGTCAAGGATTTGATCCATTTGTCTTCTGGAGAAATTGTAAGTCTTGAAACTGATTATAAAATATTTATTTTCTTTTTTTTAGCTCAATTTTATCCATTCCAGACATTTTGAATACATAAATGATGCATCTACTGGTAGTTAGTTCTATGTGAGAGAAGAAAAAACTAATTAATTTTATGTGGAAATTTTTTGATTGTTTGGAGGAATATTTTTCAAGTATGTTACATTTTTATATGTGATCATTCTTGAAATTTTAAAAATGCAATCCTTTAAAAAGATATGCAGGAGATCTCATGTAACAGAAATTGTTTTGTACAGTTTATATGAATCCAAAAATTTCCTCTCACCCATTGCAAAATGCTGGGTGTTTACAATAGGAAATTGTGACTTCAGATTTTTACTTGCATTTTCATTACATTTGCATATTTTGACATTTGGAGGAAAAAATGTGTGATAAGGTTTTGCAACATGAGGGAAATAACAGCAACACATTTACAGATCTTCCTCTATAATGATGAATTCTGGTTATACTGTAGTACATAAGTTCCTCAGCATATACTCAATTCTCTTCAAATTCAATGAAAAGACTCTTTCCAAAACCTCAGAGGACCAAGATCAACTGTTATCTTTACATGATTTCTCATCAAAGATACACATTGTCCAATGAACTAAACCGTATCTGCTGGAGGCTGAGTCTGAACGCCTTGTGCTTCAATTTGAGTTCAGTACTTGCCTTATGCTGCAAGTTGAATTGCTGACATTTTGTTTTTGTTATCAGGGAGGGGAAGAAAGGGTATATGCACTTACATCAGTTGTGCAATTGTACATTTTGGGATGCATTTTCCTTTCTTTCAATATCTATATACCGCTTATTTCTTTGTTTTCTATTGTGATATGATGGAATGTGTTTGGATGAATGCAGGTGGGGAGGGAAGGTGGTCTGGAGATGCAGGACATTGCTTGAGCCTTGTGAATACTAAAAAGCAGGAAATAAAGCCTGCTGTTCAATCCAATTCATAATATACTGTATTTACTCGAGTACCACGCAAACATTTTTTCCCAAATTTCAGAAGAAAAGATAGGGGTGCGCATCATAAGCAGGTACAAAATTTGCAAGAAGTTTTAGGAAGTTAAGTTTGCATTATACTTAATTATAATGGAGAAATTTGGAACAAATATAACAAGAAAACATTTTTGTATTGAAAAAGTTGAAAATTGATCAGATTTTTTTTCAATTCACGCCTAAAGTCAAATTTTTTGTTTTTATTTTTGAAATTTTATGGTTTTAGATTCACTAAAAATTGGGGTGCGTGTCTTACTCAGGGATAAGATTTTTGCACAATTTTCAACTGAAAAACCCCTGTGCGCGCCTTACTTGAGGGAGCGTGGTACTTGAGTAAATACGGTATACGGTACTCAAGTGTTATCATTGGAACTTTTTTCCAGGTTGCACCATCTGAAATTGATGACCTCATCATTCAGCATGAGTCAGTTTTCAAAGTTGGGGTTGCTGGTGTCAAGTGTGGTCATGAAAATCGTCCCAGGGCTTTTGTTGTCCTGAAGAAAAATGCTCCCCCTATAGAACCTGAAGACATTGTCAAGTTTGTGGAAGGTGAGCCAAAATATGCTTTAAATTTGGGCTAAAGCATATTATCCCCTGGACTTTTTTTGCAATGAAAATTTGGCATACTTAGTGCCATAACCCATAAATAACTAGGGCATAAAAATAGAGGAAATCATTGAAATACTGTATTATATATGAGGAACAATTTTATTTTTCTTCAGATCGAGCCAAGGATCGGAAAACACTTCATCTCACTGGTGGAGCAGAATTCGTGGACCAACTGAAACTCGTCGCGGGAAAACTGTGCAAAAGTTCCTTGCAAAAATGCTTTAATTCTAGGATGAGTGCCTAGAAAAAAACCGAAACTCCTGGTCAAAAAACATTTTCCGAAATTGAAGGAAAAACAAACATTATTCAATTCAGGGTGATCATGTGACTCAAGTGCATATGTTCTAAAATCCGTTTTCTTGGCAAAAAGAAAAAGAAATGTGCATTGGGATATCGCGAAAAAGATGAAGGGAAGTGCTTCACAAACTTGAAAGAACGCGAGAGATAACCTAAGTGAAAACAATTTTATGGGAAACTTGTGTCAAGTTTATTCATACCATGCTAAAAGAAGAGCAAATTTTGATTGTTGATTATTTTAATTTTCATGAAGTTTTGCTCCAAGTGAAAAAATACCTAAAAATTGCCTGAAATGAATAAATTTAATGGACACTTGGGTGATTCTGTACACACAAAAAACAGTGTATTATATGTATACAGTACTGTATAAACTTGTTATAATAGCAAAACCATATTGGGAACCCAGATTTGGATGTAATGGGTGCATCAAGAGTGTCCCTGAGTTGAATTGTCCCTAAGTTGAGTCTTGTTCTCCTATAGACTTGCATTATACAATTTTTAATTGGTTCTTCATGGAAGAAATATTCTTCAGAATTCCATGAAAAAACTTCTGCTTGCCACTTGAATTTGATTCAGTGAATATATTGTCAACCCTATAGGAAAGTTTGGAGCATTGAATAGTATACCACTGTACAGTTCATTGAAATGTTGGCATCTGTAAAATAACATTCAAGTCACAAAGAGAGAAGGAAGTCCCTCTGTGCTATAGGTAATTTATTTTAATTAGCTGAATGGATGCAAAAGTGATGGGAAAAGTACCAAAGCATTTTTCTTGCATAGATCTTAGGGTTGGATTCATCCGTTTCTTGCAATTTAGCCTAATACAAGTCAATTTTCCTGAAATTTATTGGCAATTTTATCATAAAATATCCTCGTGTTGAGGCAGTGTCTATTGGGGACAAATGTGTCTCAATATAATTTGATTTCAAGTGCTGTCCAGATTAAAAAATAATGAAACACGTTATTCAGTCTGGGACAGGACTGGGATTCCATTTAGGAATTCCTAGTTTAAACGGTCAAGTATATATATTTCAAGGAATAAGTGAATAAACAACTCAATCAAACTCAACTTGCTGAATATAGTTTGTTCATAACACACTTGATAAAACTGATTCTGAATGATGATGATGAAAAGGAGCTGCTTATATACTACCAATAATAATTAACCTTCACAAGGCTTTAGGTTTGCAATCAGAACAGGAAAAGATAAGGTCAATTATGTTTGAGGAGGGGGAATACTTTTACTCCTAGGAATTTGTTTGTTGAGTATGTTACTGTACACGGCATGCATGCCCAACAGTGTCTGTGTGTTGGGCCTTTTTTATTGAAAAATAAATGTCCCCATGTGGTATATTGTCTACTTTTCAAGGTGTCTGCATGTGATTGGGGGTAACACTGTATTACAAAAAAATTGTTAAAAAGGAACTCTTTTATCATTGTAGCTATTCTGCAGGGACTTGAATACAACTTTTTTGCATTATTGATCATTCACTATAACAAAATTCCTTGTAAAACGATTCTACTGTAGGTATGAAAAGCACCATCTTATTCTATCATATTCCCAAGTTTAAAGCTTCACTCTCTGTAGCTGAGCTCAGCTCGTCAATATTTGCGCGCACAATATCCAATCACGCCAAAAACGACATTTTCCCGGAAGAAGTTCGTTGTGTGAACTAAAAGCTCTGCCTATATAAACCTTTTCATCCTCATCAGATAAATCCTATTCAGCCTGTTTTTCTTCTTCTTTTTCTTTTTTTTTTCTCCCCTCCGTGACGTCTTTATTTTATTTCGTTGGTGGAACCCGGCCCTTCCGAAACTTGAGCGCCGGGTTCCGGCTCCAACATTTGTATAATAAATATGTATTTCATTTTATTATGTATTTTTATTTATATTTTTGCTCTCGCTATTATGAGCGGAAGACTGGTTATAGTGTAGATTATTTCGCTGCTATGTCGAAGTGTTGGACGCTGAAAATCAGCAGTGCTCCTTTTTTCCTGCTCTTTGTGTCGTCGCTGTTGCTGCCGAACATCCCACTACACGGTATAATAATAAGTGCTGCTACTGTATATATATATATATATATATATATATATATATATATATATACCGTATTTATATGTATTTGTACTGGTTCATTTATTGTGAGTTTGTAAATATTGAACCCAATATTTACTCGAGCTAGTCAAGTAACGCCCAAACCGTTTTCCTTTAAAAAAAATGGAGCTCAAAAAGTGGCTGTGCGTCATCCTTGTGAATATATTTTTCTGAATTTTTTAAAACATTTTTGGTGCGCATAATAATTCAAACAAATACAGTGAGACCCCCACATGTGAACACCTCTTGACATGGGGACAATTATTTTTCAATAAAAAAAAAATCATAAAAAGGCCCAAGATAGGGACACTGATGACTCAACATGGGGACACTGCATGATAAAATTGCCAATACTTTTTAGGAAAATTGACTTTTATCAGGCTTAATTCCAAGAAACAGATACAATATTTCCAACCCTAAGATCTATGTAAGAAAAATTCTTTGGTACTTTTCCTGTCACTTTCCAATCCAGCATTCAGCTAATTAAAAAAAAAATTACCTGTAGCACATAAGGGGGGATTCCTGATTCTCTTTTTGTGCCTTGGATGTATTTTTACAGATGCCAATAAAGTGAGACCCCCACATGTGGACACCTCAACATGGGGAAAAATCAACTTAGATACATTTATTTTTCAACAAAAAAAATCATAAAAGAGGCCCAAGATAGGGACACTGACTCAACATGGGGACACTGCATGATGAAATTGCCAATAAATTTTAGGAAAATTGATTTTTATCAGGCTTAATTTCAAGAAACAGATACAATATTTCCAACCCTAAGATCTATGTAAGAAAAATTCTTTGGTACTTTCTGTCACTTTCTGATCCATTCAGCTAATTAAAAAAATTACCTGCAGCACAGAGGGACTTATTCCTTATTCTCTTTTTGTGACTTGGATGTCATTTTTACAGATGCCAATATTTTGATGTACTGTACAGTGGTATATACAGATGCCAATACAGTATTTTGATGTACTGTACAGTGGTATACTATTCAATTTTCCAAATGTTCTTATTGCATGGAAAAGATATTCACTAATTCAAATGGCACACAAATTTTTTTTCTTGGAGTTCTGAAGAATATTTCTTCCATAAAATACCAATTAAAAGTTATATAATATGTAAGTCTATGGGAAAACAAGACTTGGCTTAGGGACATTTTGACTTGGGGTCACACTTAAACTTAATGCACCAGTCATTTCCTCATCTGGGGGTCTCACTGTACTGTAATTACTGTATTTACTTGAGTACCATGCACCCTCAAGTAAGGCATGCACAGGGGTTTTCAGTTGGAAATTTGGCTAAAAGCTGCGCACCCAAACTTTTAATGTATCTAAATCCAAAAAATTTTGAAAATAAAAACAGATAATTGACTTTAGAAATAAAATTGAACAAAAATCTGATCAATTTTCAACTTTCCCATTACAAAAAGTGTTCTTGTTAAATTTTTTCCAAATTTCTCCAATATATAATCAAATATAATGCACTTATAACTACCTAAAACTTCTTGAAAAATGTGTATACCCACTTATGACATGCACCCCTTTTTTCTCATATTTCAGAAGAAAAAAAGGGGTGCATGTCATACTTTGTAGGTGCATGTCATAGGTGGTACTTTGGTAAATACAGTATACTGTATACTGTACTGTACAGAAGATTGGTTTGGTACCCGCAGATGCGATGAAGTTCGGCCAGAGGTCGCCTCGAGACGTCCTCTCATCATTGTCGGATGATTACCCGGAAGAACGGATAGAAAATTACCTCCGGGGTCGAGATGCCCACGAAAAATGCCTGGTGTACAACGTGAATTCTTCCGTTTGTCTCGACGGATTCCCTATCCAAGTCAGGTATCCCATGGATCTTCCAAGGCCAGAGAAAAGAACCAAATCAGCCAAATCGTCAAACAGGAAACATTCATCCTCAGCAGAGTCGACCACTAGAGGAAATCACGTGATGACTGCCTTGCGGAGAACCGGGAGACGGGGTCAATGGGAGCCCATCTTTTCTTTGATGGTAATTTATCTTCCATTAATTTTGACGTTCCTTAGAATACAACTGCTGAAAGTCATACATTACCTGACCTACAAAAAAAAAAAAAATTCAAAGGCAGATGAAAACAATTTTTTTTCTGGAAGGTACCAAATCTGAGTGGGGACTGCTGGGGAGCTATTCTTTGTGTGACCCCACAACTGGGGTCACAATAACTGGTGTACATGGGCTATTCTGGGGTTGCAAGCAATACAAGCATGCACCTCTGTTGATAGAAATTTTGCAACCATTCCAGCGCTACATTTGGTGCACAAATGTGACATAACAGGAGTATTGCAAAAATTCGCCAACTGTAACCTTCGTGTAACTTATTTATGACAAATGTGACCCTGAGTAACTCTGGTGTGAACACACAATTGGGCCACTTTGAGGATGTACATGTGCAACAGAAAAATGTAGGTACACTTCAGGTGCACAGCAGGGTCACTGTGCTGGAATTGCTTGGAATTGAATGCATACCTCCAAAAATGTCTGCCTTTGTGTGTTTTGAATTATCATTCAATATTTATTTTTGAAAGCATCTTGTCTCATTGATTGACCATGAAATCCCTTAGATGAAAATTTCATGATTTTGCCTTTTCTTGCTTGAAGATTTGATATTTTGTACTTGAAAGTTCTTTCACTTTGTGTTTGTTCGATGTCAGTGTCCTCATTTCATATGTGATTTCCAAATATTATTGCACCTACAAATAGAATAAAGTTTGCACAGTTGAGCCTTGATAAGTCAAACCTCTGTAAGTCGAATTTTTTTCAAGTCCCTGTCTGAATTCCTTTAGAAACAATGCATTATTGAAAGCATCCCCAACTCAAAGTCTTTTTCTCCCAAACCTCCTTAAGTCACATTTTCTGAGGCCTTTTGGCTACTATTTCCTTGAAACATGAAAGAGAAAATAAATAAATAAATTATTTGACTCAGCTTGAAAGGAAGTGATAGACTAGTTAAACAAATGAACCCCTGCCTCCAAGTTCAGCAAGCTGTAAATGCATTAAGAAGCAAGGCCCAGAATATCCTCATTTACAATTTCCCATGATTGCTTTACTTTGCCTTGCAGCATACATTTTTGTTTCCTTATCTGAAAACCTCCAAAAATCAACCCCCCCCCCCCCCCAAGTCAAATTTTTTTTCCTGGCCCCTAAAAATTTGACTTTGAGAGGTTCAACTGTGCTTCATTGCTTCTGCTTACATGCATGCACATCAGACTGCTCAAATAAGCATCAAGCCCTTGAATAAATGTTCAGACAAACAAATTTAGGCCTTTTTTAGAATTTCTCTAAAGAATTGTTCTATTTTCATATACCTTCACTTATGAATAGTTCTACACCCAATATAACATTATCTCAGTATTATCTCAAGGGAAACTGTGATTTGGCTAGAGAACTTTGTCCAGAAATGGATTGAGGCCATTTGTTCAAGACCACAATCCACTATGTTTGGCTGGATGTTTGGCATGAACCAAAGAAGAAAGTGAGCATATATAAATACATAGACCATTAGGAAGTGTGTTGTATAGTATTGTTGTCATTGGGAAATTATCTCAATGAAATAATTATGAGTGAGAAGTTGTACAGGGGTACAACTCAAGTGAGAGAAAAGAGGAAAGAAAGAACAAAGATACAAGCATAGAATATTTATTATCAATATATTATATTCCGACTTGACCTTTGTTGAATGCGCAGATTTGTACTTCATCCTTCCAACCTGGATCTGTCCCTCTATTAAGTACCTCTTCCTGGTACAACAATATTATTGTTACTGCATTTACTCAAGTACCACACGCACATTTTTTCTCAAATTTCAGAAGAAAAAAGGGGTGCGCATCATAAGTGGGTACACATTTTTCAAGAAGTTTGAGGAAGTTATGTGTGCATTATACTTAACTATAATGGAGAAATTTTGAACAAATGTAGCAAGAAAACTTTTTTTACTGAAAAAGTTGAAAGTTCATCCAATTTTTGTTCAATTCATGTCTAAAGTCAAAATTTTTGAATTTATTTCCAAAATTTTATGGTTTTAGATTCACTAAAAATTGGGGTGTGTGTCTTACTGGGGTATACAATTTTAGCGCAATTTGCAACTGAAAATCCACTGTGTGCACCTTACTCCAGGGTGCATGATACTTCAGTAAATATGGAATATACAGTGAGACCACCACATGTGGATGCCTTGACCTGCAGACACTTTGACATAGGAACACTTATTTTCCCAGAAAAATCAATAAATAAGTCCCAACATGAGGACACTGACTTGACATAGGAACATTTTGTGATAAAATTGCAAATACATTTCAGTAAGAGGGGGAATACTTTTTGTGGATACCTGTATACAATGAACAAAAAAGAGTGCTGTCCTATCTTCCACAAAACACCAATTAAAAATTATATAATGTAAGTCTATGGGAAAAAGAAGACTCAACTTAGGGACATTTCAACCTGGGGGACACTCTTGATGCACCAATTACTTTGGTATCTTGGGGTCTCACTGTAATATATCCCTAGATTCTGGAGTATATAAACTGCAGAAGCTTCTGCCAAAATCAGTCATTATAGTGCACTGACCATTGTTGATACATCTTGTGTAGGAAATCTCCAAGGTCTTGTGTCTTCGTCTTGTGGAAATTGTGGGTTGTGTGAATAAGACTATTTCTGCTAGAAAGAAGTCTTTTGTTTATTCCCAGTTCTGTCCACAATAAAGGAGATACATGAATCTTGAAGGGTTTTTATACTCAGCAAAAAGGGATAAAAGTATGTATAGTGTTATTTTCAGAAAATTGAGGCATTTTAACCACATTCCTCCTTTTGATTTTTGATTTTTTAAAAGTTGAACATTACTCAAATTTTGTTAAGTTATTATATAAGGCACTTATAGAAAATTCAGGACTTTAATACAAGGAGCAGAATTATTTTCCAAATTCAAATCTTCCCAATTGATGAATTTCTTTTACAATTTTATTCCAGCGGCCGGAGCTGATAAAGGGTACGGACCAGAAATTCTTCCTGGACGTTCACGAACCCGGTTCGAAACCCGGGTTCAAAATCGAA